TGGATTTTATTTTCTCATTTTGTCTGTCATAGTTGACGTGTACCTATGATGAAAATTACAGGCCTCTCTCATCTTTTTAAGTGGGAGAACTTGCACAATTGGTGGCTGACTAAATACTTTTTTTCCCCACTGTATATATATTTTTTTACATTTGCAAAAAAATCTAATAACCAGTTTTTGCTTTGTCATTATGGGGTATTGTGTGTAGATTGAAACAATTTAATCAATTTTAGAATAAGGCTGTAACGTAACAAAATGCGGAAAAAGTCAAGTGGTCTGAATAGTTTCCGAATGCACTGTATATGGATGATTTATAAAGCCAGGCACATTTAACAGTTAGGCACATTTAACAGTTAGGCTATTGATTATAGACCTAATTAAGTTGGGGTTTGCTCTCGCCTCAATTTTCTTAGATAGCCTTATTCGCACGGGACTAGTATTACTAGAGAACGTTGGTTATTGTTTTCTTGCTCAAACCGTGACCAACACCTGTCAAACTCATCTCAAAACACAGGGATGTCGATTTGCACGGGACTAGTATTATCAGAAGACCTTGGAGTTCGCCAAAAAACAGTAGGTTACTCTGGCTGGAATTGTTACTCTCCTGCCATGTACAAATTACTGACATGGAAGATTCGGACGGGACTAAAATTACAGATGTGATGTTTTGTGCTTGTGCACATCATTACATTACCCGACCACCCCCAGTAAAACTAGTCGAGTCCGAATAGGGCTTTAGGTAAGGGCTATTTCCTTGTCTCTGCTGCTGGTGCCTCCGCTGCATTGTTCTCAATCCCAATATGCTGGTTAATTTTGCTATTACGCACATAGCAACACAGGGAAAGGCGGCAATTCTAAGGCGCACTGAAGATTATGTTTCTGAACCGCGGACATCGACCATATCCAACGCAGGAGAAAGCGCATGTTATAAAATAATATTCGATTTATTCGTGTTGCGCCATTATTTGTATACAATATAACCAAATACAATTTCAGTATAACATGTCTTAGAGTGATGGACTGTGCCATCCCCGTGGCCTCCGCAATGGATTAGTCCACTGAGACAGTCGCGAATCAGACCGGTGTCTTGTGCACCATGATTATTTTGTATTTTTTTATTGCGACTGCTCGACTAAAGAAATCTTGGTCGACCAACAGCCTATCGACCAAACAATCGACCAGTCGACTAAATGGGGTCAGCCCTAATACACGTAAAATACTTCAGCTTCGCTTGATTTGCCTAGTACAACGGAACTAACGGCATTGTCTTAAAAGTGCTAAAGCCTTGTCAGTCGTCCCATCTTTCGATCAATATCAAACTGATCATGTTGTCGTTAAGCGCTGGTCTCAGACCTGTTGGCAGCTCCTCCACACCTCCCTGCACAGCCTCGCCACCTTCTTCAGCTTCATGATGGAGTTTGACAATCAGCCCTGGAGTCTGCCGTTATAATCCCACACTACCCTGCCGCTGTCTATCCGCCACTGTTCCCTCCTTTCTTTCTCTTCCTCAGTCTACCACATGAGGAACTCCTGTCTCCTTCATGCCTCATCTACCGCTCCCACAGTGACACAGTCCTCCAAACTGGCCCCCTGTTCCTCCCTCTTTCTCCTCCTGTCTTCTTTCTTCACCCTCTACCCCTCTCTCCTTCACTAATACGCCTATGTTCAGAGTCCCAGGGTGGGAATACCCTGTCATTCCTCTTCCAGCCCTCCAGCTTCCTCATTCCCACTCTGCTCTACTAGGATAATAATCATCACAGGAGCAGCAGCTCGGTCACGTTTTCCCGTTTAAACTAGGGCTGGGCTGTATACCGTATTTTACGATATACCGGTATTGATGCACGGACCGGTTTTGGCTTTTACTTTACCTTCTATAACAGTATTTTAATATTTGGTTTGATAAATGCGATACGCCGTGTGTAAAGTACATTTTTATAGTTTACTTCACTCCTTGAGTCATCTCTCTCCGCTCTCTCTCTCTCCATGCCGCTTTCCACACAGACCTAGTCCCGCCCTGTCACTCAAGGAGCGTATTTGTTGTTCCTCGACCACGAGACATTTGCTTTCAGTCTGCATGGTCAAATGCAATGTTGATGACAACGATGCTGCTTTCACTTTGCTTCTTAATATAAATCCACTAGCGTTCTATAATTACACTATTAGTTTGTGTTTCTTACATCTGCAAACAGCTAGTTTGTCTTTTCTTAGCAAGTTGGGCCCAAATGTTGTTAGCCGCTAATGCTAATCGCTAGTTAGCTAGCTAATAAATGTACTGAGTCAGAGCAAACATAATTAGCTATACAGCCACATAATACCAGTGATGGTATAAAGCTAAATCAGCATGATGTTTGTGCAACGGTATCTTCTAAATCAAAGAGGAATATGTGAAGCATGAATATGTTAGCTACATGAAGTAGCTAAGAGAAAACATTCAAAGTAGCCAAAGATTATAGGGTCCCCTAGGAAACACTTAACAACACTTTGGTTCCTACCCTGTAACAATAACTCCTCCCTGGCATTTTCATTCGGTGTCATGTCAAACAACACTTTCTTCAAAGTGCCCACTATTATATTATAACTATATAATTAGAATATTCATTATATTTCCATGATTCCAATAGTTCACCCAAGTGGTTTGCTCTAAATCGCAAGTCAAATAGCAATTGCAACATTTGGTAAAATAAAAATAAAATAAAAAAATAATAATATGCCATTTAGCAGACGCTTTTATCCAAAGCGACTTACAGTCATGCGTGCATACATTTTTTGTGTATGGGTGGTCCCGGGGATCGAACCCACTACCTTGGCGTTACAAGCGCCGTGCTCTACCAGCTGAGCTACAGAGGACCATGACCCCTAAATTGTTTGCTCATTTCATGCAGCCCTACATGGCAGTGTGGAAATGATCTCAAATGAGCGCAAGAAATGCATAAATTCATGAAAATGCAGGAAATAATTTGTGGTTGAAGTTGAATTGAACAGTATAAAACAATCAGAATGGAGAAAGACCCATTGAAATCACTTAGAATGTACAGTTGAAGTCGGAAGTTTACATACACTTAGGTTGGCGTCATTAAAACTTGTTTTTCAACCACTCCACAAATTTCTTGTTAACAAACTGTAGTTTTGGCAAGTCGGTTAGGACATCTACTTTGTGCATGACACAAGTAATTTTTCCAACAATTGTTTACAGACAGATTATTTCACTTATAATTCACTGTATCACAATGCCAGTGGGTCAGAAGTTTACATACACTAAGTTGACTGTGCCTTTAAACAGCTTGGAAAATTCAAGAAAATGATGTTATGGCTTTAGAAGCTTCTGATAGGCTAATTGAAATCATTTGAGTCAATTGGAGGTGTACCTGTGGATGTATTTCAAGGCCTACCTTCAATCTCAGTGCCTCTTTGCTTGACATCATGGATGGCATCATGAGGAAGGAAAATGATATTTTGATCTATTGGATATATTGAAGCAACATCTCAAGACATCAGTCAGGAAGTTAAAGCTGGTCGCAAATGGGTCTTCCAAGTGGACAACGACCCCAAGCATACTTCCAAAGTTGTGGCAAAATGGCTTAAGGACAACAAAGTCAAGGTATTGGAGTGGCCATCACAAAGCCCTGACCTCAATCCTATAGAAAATTTGTGGGCAGAACTGAAAAAGCGTGTGTGAGCAAGGAGGCCTACAAACCTGACTCAGTTACACCAGCTCTGTCAGGAGGAATGGGCCAAAATTCACCCAACTTATTGTGGGAAGCTTGTGGAAGGCTACCCGAAACGTTTGACCCAAGTTAAACAATTTAAAGGCAATGCTACCAAATACTAATTGAGTGTATGTAAACTTCTGACCCACTGGGAATGTGATGAAAGAAATAAAAGCTGAAATAAATCATTCTCTCTACTATTATTCTGACATTTCACATTCTTAAAATAAAGTGGTGATCCTAACTGACCTAAGACAGGGAATTTTTACCAGGATTAAATGTCAGGAATTGTGAAAAACAGAGTTTAAATGTATTTGGCTAAGGTGTATGTAAACGTCCGACTTCAACTGTATGTGTTGCCACCCTAGAGAAGCTGCTGGTTTATCTGAACAGTGACTAGTGATGGGGGGGGGGGGGGGAATTGATACTTACATGTTGCAATATTATTTTTGGACGATATTAACCATATTTCACCCCACCTAGTGCCAATTACTAACATTTGCTACTGTAGGTAGCGTTAGCTAGCGCTAGCTGGCTGTACCTGAGCCGAAACTCCAGTATTTTTTATCCTGTAGCTTGTTCTCCATCTTCTTTTTAAATAGTGAGCCGACATCTCTTCAGTACATTTATTTCCCCGACTGATCAAAACTTGTTTTCTCATGCTCTCTTCTCTCTGCTGCAGACATATAGTGAGCAATGTCGAATTGCAATACATACAGAATCGTGAGAATCGCAATACATATCGTATCGGCACCTAAGGATCATGATAGTATCGCATCAGGTCGTCACCGGCAATTCCCAGCCCTACCAGTGACCATGGCACACACAATGAAAGTGCATCATCACTGGCCACAGGCCCAGTGTTGGTTGACCCCACCTATTGCCACTGAACTAAACTAGGGCACATTTGTGTACATGTGTGCACCCATCAAACATAATGGACAACAGTTTGGTTTGTGGGCCGAAGCAATTACTTTTCACCCTAGTTCAACTACCTTTGTGTATGGAGAGTAAGGGCTTGATGATAAGTTGCCAAGTTGAATCAGGTGTGCTAGCCCTGGAGGGACAGTGGTTTTCAAACCTCTCCTCTGGGACCCCCCAGAGCAAGCACACCTGATTCAACTTGGCAACTTATCATCAAGCCCTTGACTAGGTGAATCAGGTGAGCTACAACAACAACATCTTAAAACGTCTGGGGATCCCAGAGGAGAGGTTTAAGAACCACTATGCATTTGGATGTGCCAGGTGGAGATACAGTTACAGTTTATGGGAGTAAATGGGGTAAAGGCCTACCTGTCCCCCCAGCTGTTTCATGAGAGGTTGTAGTTCACTGAAGAGGTCGTAACCCTGGTGGAAGAAGGTCAGGTGGGCGTACATAAAGGACAGCATCTACAGAGAGGAACGTACCAATCAGAGATGTCGTATACGAGGCAAGAGACATAGGAACAACATAGTTAGGGTCATATGGTTATTTTCATAGAAGTCCTTGGAAAATGATATTTACCGATTTTAGGATTTCCGATCTTCTCTTAGACTGTAGTACATTGATCTGTGTGGGTAGAAAGAAAAGCTCACAGTTAGATTGGGTCACCACTGTGTGTGAGCGCGTGTGTTTGAGAAAAAGAGAGCACTGTACGAGTGAAATGATCGAATCAAATACTCATCCCAGTTCGCACTTCAAATGCATTTAAAGTTAATTGGTTCCCATTAAATGGGCATCATGAATAGTGTATAATTAGCAAAAATTACATCACTGTAGATGTGGTAGGAACTGGATAGGTAGAAGCAGGCCCTAGGAACGGGATAGATGTATTGCTTCTACTCGCTTCTACTCTCCTCGCTTCTACTATGTTATTGCTTTTAGTTTCTTTCATACATCTGCAAAAGCTGAAGGGTTTGAGATAAGTGGAAGGTTCTAGGGTGCTGGTTGTTTTCGGAATGGGCAGTTGAGAGGATATTGAGCAACTTAAAGAACTGTGGCCGTGTCAATTGGGAAACATCTAAATGTTCGATTATAGCTGCTAAGGAAGGTGTTGTTGACATGCTGCTGACTCTCGTATGGTAAAAGAACAACATATGAAAATGTGGAACTTCAATGGAATGCCCCTTTAAAATCAGCCTTGCTTTCGGGGCTTATAGATTTTCGGAGAGCTTGATAGCAGGCGAGCTCAATACCGCACTACCTCTTCAAGGGGAAGACTTTCATAAATTATTGGTCAGCCCTTGCAGAACACTGCTGTTATTGTAAAACGTGTGTGCTAGTAAATGCAGTCCACTTCTCCATTCACAGCAACGCTATGAAACCCAAGCTATAGGTAATGCTAAGCTGGCTGGCCCACTTATCAGCCGACATGGCCCATTCATCATCATTGCAGCAGCCCAGGAGAAGACCAGTCAATGAAGGCACGGCTGTATACATGACTGTACTCTCCATTGTGAAAGGTCAGCTTAGCCATCAGGGGAACATAGCACGTACTGTAGAGCCATATGGGTTTGACAAGCCAGGGACTTCAAAATAGTATGACAGAAAGGCCTATAACACTTTGGTATCTATGGTAAGAAAGAAAGACTGAGGCTCCGTGAAAAGTACTCTGTTGGAGTTGGACCTGTAGGCGGAATATACCCAAGTGTTAAGCTTCTCATCAGGGTCTGTGTGGCATTGTATGGACATAATTGATAGCTGGCCTTTACTGTCAGGCTACAGCCATTCATCAAAGATGCTTAAACAAGTTTAACATTGGAATGGGGGGTAAACTCACCCTTGTGCCAGACCATTCACCATACGTAAAATGCTACTGAACAATAGCGGTCACCAACCCTGGTCCTGGAGAGTATGGGCTAGTGTTCCAGACTTACACTGTCACACCTGATTCAATCAATGAACTCCTCAGCAAAATCTTGATTAGCTGAATCAAGTGTCAGAGCAGGGCTGAAACAAAAACATGCACCCCGATGTTGCTTTCCAAGACCGAGGTTGGTGAACCGCAGTCTGTGTTTAAACCTACATAGAAGGATAAAGTTGTCCCTAAGAAACTGATCTGAGGTCAGTTTAAGCATATTTACTCTCTAAAGGTTAAGTTAAGGATTTCTAAGGTAAGCTGATCCTGGATCTGTACCTGAAGGACGTAGTCGAGGACGATGTGGCGGAAGCACTTGCGCGTGGCTGTCAGGATGTTGGTGGCCTCCTCCACCTCGTGCTGCTTGTTGCGCGGCGCCTGGGCGTTCTTAGTCAACGCCGCATCCTTCTCCTCGCTCACCTTGTCAAATTGCTTCTTGGCCTCTTTGAACTTACGTAGGTCCCTAAGGGCGGGAGGTGAAACATAAGTAAGAAATAGGTATGACAATGAGGAAGTCTCATCTCTGCTAAATCTTTGTAAATCTAGTAAAAATGTACTTTATTTTCATTGGAAACTTCAAATTCAGGAGTATAGACCTTTCATTCATTGGCATTCAATTGTTTCTTTGTAGTCATGTTTTGGTTGTACAAGTTGTATAGAGAAGGCAGTGAGATTCTCTGTGGTTTTACATGGTTTGAAAAACAACCAGAGCAAGTGGCTACAATAGTACAATCGTCCAAATACTGGTAACCAAGAAGCAAGGATCCCATTTCTTCTTTTCGCCGAAAAAAAGAAATGGGAAACATTGAACAAATCTATCATCTATATTATTTAAAGGTCTTCTCAGTTTATTAGGTGAATGACTAAAGGGAAGCAATTGCCCTAAAAATCTAATTACTCTCACAAATGTGTCTACAAAAGCATTTGGGGGTGATTTGTAACCAGCAAGTACAGTATAATTTGACAAAGCAATTAACGACTATTTGGAAATTAGCCTCACATGCACCCTGACAACTTCCAAGTGGAACTCAATGTTAAAGCTTGAATCATTTTCTAGTGTGCGCAATGTGAATTGTACATTTAGAATGAATTGGCACAGATATGAGGACACTATTTACTCCAAACGGAGGGACAAAGGCCACTACTTAAACTCAAGTGCCCGCATCTTGTTCTTTGGCTTGTACTGCTTGAGTGAAATAAAGTCACCTTGGACCACAGAAGGAGGAGTGAGCAATTGTTCGGGAACATGGTTTTGAGCGCTTCATTTATAGGGCAAAACACTGATGTAGGAGTTTAGCCCGTGTGTGGTGTGGGCAAAGGCAGCAGGCTAATCCTGCATAATGAAAGAAATGAGGTTTCCCTGCAGGCTTAAACTGTTACGCAAACTGTCAGGGAAAATGTGGGTGCATTAGCTAGTAGGTTAGCAAACATTTAGAAGCTGTACTTTTACACAACCTAATGTATCTGAGCAAATAATATAGTATTCCACATTGCATCGCAGACCGTGTCTCATCCCATCCTTTAGCATATCGGATATGCTGCTGCCGATCTCCTCATACATATTCATGTACGTGTTTCAGCAGTTGTGCTGTGTGAATTTATTTATGTAATTTTCTTCCTTAGTTATTTTAGTCCTAGACCATGATCTATCACAAACCATTTGTATGTTGAATAGACACACTGTTCATAACTTAATGTCCATTGTTATTGTGTACAATAAGAATACAATTAGCAGTGATGTGATGAGGGAGCATTCATTTCGACCTACTTACTCTTTGACAAAAGTTAGAAGCTGGGTCTTGATCGATCGCTGGGCCTGGTCAAACAAAATCTATAAGCAGAGAAACATGACTGATTAGTACTTTATGCAACCGGGTAACAGTCACAAACCTTTCACATTTTAATTATTACAAGCTGAAGTGAGTATGAAACACATTTATTTACAGGGAATGATGTACGTGTATGTGTGTGTGTGGTGTGTGTTCTGCAAGTCAGCACCTCAACCCAGGGTGTGTACCTTTACTTTAAAGGTGGACTCACAAAACACGACAAAATCAGCATAGATCGGGCTGACTTTTAATGCATACCAGCACAACAGCCTATTGGTTTCAGCTCAATGACATGCAGTGCTGCTGTGTTCATTCTCACTAGTTAGTCAGAGGCAGACTCATAACTTCTACCTCCTTCAAACGGACAGCCAGCTAAATTAGCCTCAGAGACACCAAAGCTGAAGCCCTCATGGTGTTTAGCCTGCTGATGCAGAGCCAGACAATATGGCCAATGTTGTTGGGACTGGAGGGCCCGTGCTCGGGTGAAAAAACGATTTGGCTCTGTGCTTTAAGGATCATGTGCTCGGGTTAACGCTGAATGGCTAACTTTAACCATCAGTCAGCTGATCCCACCGCAGTCTCCAGTGTTGAGTCATGGTCTTAGATCTGTGGCCCTCAGGGGTTTAGGGAGGGGGGTAGGACACTAAGAAGGGACTAGGGAGGTCTCTCCAGTGATGAGTCACAGTCTCAGACTCTAGGGCAGGGGTATTCAACTCTTATCCTACGAGGTCCGGAGCCTGTTGATGTTCTTTTCTACCTGTTCTAATTGCACTCACCTGGTGTCCCAGGTCGAAATTAGTCCCTGATTAGAGGGGAGCAATTACAAAATGAAGTGGAACTGGATTCGAGGTCCAGAGTTGAGTTTGAGGGCTCTAGGGTTTAGGAAGCATCGTTTTTTAAAATGTATTATTATTATTTATTTATTCAGGGAAACCCCACTGAGTCCATGGTCTCATTCCCAATGGTGCCCTGATCACAACAATACAACAACCAATATAATGTAAAACAAAACAGCAATCATGTATGACAGTTACAGTCCTCAGCTACTAGGTCCTCAATTAACACCCTAAACTACCCGAGTGGCACCTGAACATCTAATTGTAGTGAGTTTTGCAAGTTGTTCCAGCAGTGAGGCGCATTAAAACTAAAAGCGGATTTACCTAATTCGGTGGAGACCCGAGGAACCTCAAGAGTTAACCCTGTGAACGGGTTTGGTAACTCATGTTTTCATACTTCAACAACGAAGTTAGCTAAGTCGGAAACTTGTGTAGTAGAGCTTAGTAAACAAAAAGGGAATAGTGAAGTGATCTACGCGACTTTAATGAGGACCAGCCAACCTTTTGACACAGAATGCAGTGATGAGTATTGAAACTGTCACCTGTGATAAAGTGAAGGGCGCTATGGTAGACGGCATCCAAAGGTTTAAGAGTAGTGACTGCTGCATTCTGGTAAATGGTGTCACCATAGTCAAGAACTGGCAGGAAAATTGACTGTACAATCGGCTTCCTGCTGTTTCGGGAGAGGCAAGATGTATATACACTACCGGTCAAAAGTGTTAAACAAAATCAAAATACATTTTATATGAGATTCTTCAAATAGCCACCCTTTGCCTTGATGACAGCTTTGCACACTCTTGGCATTCTCTCAACCAGCTTCACCTGGAATGCTTTTCCAACAGTCTTGAAGGAGTTCCCACATATGCTGAGCACTTGTTGGCTGCTTTTCCTTCACTCTGCGGTCCGACTCATCCCAAACCATCTGAATTTGGTTGAGGTCGGGGGATTGTGGAGGCCAGGTCATCTGATGCAGCACTCCATCACTTTCCTTCTTGGTAAAATAGCCCTTACACAGCCTGGAGGTGTGTTGGGTCATTGTCCTGTTGAAAAACAAATGATAGTCCCACTAAGCCCAAACCAGATGGGATGGCGTATCGCTGCAGAATGCTGCGGTAGCCATGCTGGTTA